ATGAATGCTTCTGAAGCCAAGGGCTACATTTCCTCATGGGAAACTTTCTGGGGCACACATGCCAAAAGTGGGTGGTGGAAGGGGGGGCGGAATGTGGCTAGGGCAAGAGGTGAAAACCAGTTGGAGGAAGAGACATGACATTTGAGGTGGGCAACATTCCAGCTGCACTAAAGTCACAGATACACACACACACACACACACACACACACACATTTCTCCATCCTGGCAAGCAAAAGGCCATTATCACAGTTTAAGGATACATCCCAGTCAGGCAAAAGTACTCAGAGGAGGGCATGGATCAGGACTACTGAAGGAAGTGGCTTGGGGAGAGTCATATTTGTTCTCAAAAGCTAAAGTTTCCCACCCGACTATAATAGAATAAATCTGCTCCAGTTATATGCATTTCTTATTATTATTATTATTATTATTATTTTTAACCTAGCTTTTAACAAAACCTTGTAGTATGTATACAGTATATATCAAACATCTGTCTTGCTTCACATTTCCCGATTGGGTCTAGGTAACTATCTTCTGCAAAAATGGAATCACTGGGCAGCCATCCCTTCCTCCTCATTTTGTAATAAAACGGTGTCTGCCAAAGGACTGCACTTGAATATCTATAAACAGAGAGTTGTTGACCTTAAAAGTAGGAAAGTCAAATGTCAATGTAAGTCAAAGCTCTGTGCATGTTATCTGTAAATTGAGACTGTAGTCATGGCTTAATGAGGAACAGTTACTGTCAGCTAAAGTGATGTTATCCAATGCATATAAATAAGCACTTGCTGGAATATTTCTAGGAATATGTTTTACTCAGACAATATTCCACAAAGAAGGGAAGAAGGATAGAAATTGCAACAAGAAAGCATCAGCATTTTATACCTCCAGTTTTGTAATTTGATTAAAATTCATGAAACTACACTATCCACCGTACATTACTTTAAGGATTGGCATTAATCGCTGTCTTTCTAGTGACATCTAATCTCCAAGCAATATTTGCAAATGCTATTTGTTAGGTACTCAACAGCTTAGTTTTACATCATAATGACAGAATATAACAACACATAAAATTTATAATATAAAAACCTAATTCAATTGATAATTAAGGTACAATTCAAACTGCTGTTGAGTTGTTGTAAGTTGTGTTAAGCAAGTTATAATTCAAAGTCAGTTGACTTACGCTATGGATAATAAAATGGATTGTGGAAGTTATAACTGTTGTACAGTTCAGAAACTTATAGCTAGCTAACTGAAGCATAATATTCTCTCTGTTAAGAACAATGGCAAAGCCCTCAAAGATTGCTATTTGCAAGTGAAGCCAAAGACCCATTTATTCAGAATTTTCCTGCCCCAACACACTGAAGACAGTTAAATATGGGAGCACTTTCTTGGCTAGCAAGCAGGATATAAATGTAAACCATAAATACTGCAGTTTAAAAACTAAAGATGTGATTAACTAGTTCCTTGTAAACAGCTCAGTCAAATGGTGGCCAAAAAAATATCTCCTCATGGTAAGCAATTGAGCATAAACTCAACTATGTACAGTGGTACCTTGGGCTACATACGCTTCAGGTTACACACGCTTCAGGTTACAGACTCCGCTAACCCAGAAATAGTGCTTCAGGTTAAGAACTTTGCTTCAGGATGAGAAAAGAAATTGTGCGGCGGCAGCGCAGCAGCAGCAGGAGGACCCATTAGCTAAAGTGGTGCTTCAGGTTAAGAACAGTTTCAGGTTAAGTACGGACCTCCGGAACAAATTAAGTACTTAACCAAGGTACCACTGTACTAGAATTGTACTAGCTTTCTAGGTAAGGTCACCACGCTACCTTGAATGTCTCCGTTACTGACTCCACTTCTGTGCTGCTGATGTTCTATTTGGGATAGCACTGATCCAGCGAGCAAGTTTGTAACGTAAGTAAAGACTGTCACAACACACACACACACACACACACACACACCAATACAAAAACATTATATGGTGCCAGCCACACCATCACCTCAACATATAAATTTTCAATCACATGTTGAGAAAGACACTTTACAAATATAGCAAATAAATTGAATAAGATTACCGCAATATATCTGCAAATGTGGTTTGAGCCAAAAGTGATAGCCCATGTGATGTATAAAATATAAAATAATAGCCTTGTAAGCAAAATAATGATGATGATGATGATGATGATGAATAGGATCTCTTGAAGCTAAACATAGAAACTGGCTCCTAAGAGTTTTCTTTCTGCTTATTCTTATACATATTTTTTTGCTGTCTTTCTTTTCAGTTGCCCTCTACTTTTTTTACTCTTAAAAGATGCATTCATTACTGCCATTTCTGTTAAGATGATTTCGGCATTTTATCCTACTGTTTTATTGACTGGTTGGTGTGTACTATTTTAACTTGATTCATGATATACTGTACAGTTATATCAACCTATAGCACACATACCTTGGGGAACAAAAATATAGTGGTAGTTACAAAGAGTTTTGGAGAAGTGCTTGTAAACAATGAATGGGCAACACCTGATTTCCATTCCAGAAATAATCTTTAACCTTTACCATCCCAGTCTACCTGGGCTGTGGATTTTGTAGAAGAGATCTGCCTGAAAATTATGCCTCCCACCTTTACAATCTGAAAAGTTCCTTCCACCTAACACCGGTATGTACATTTCTGGCTATAAAAGTCAAAGGTATAAATCAGACCAGCCAAATCTCCTCCCCATACCAAAGTACACTAAAAAGGTGAGATTAAGGAGAAGGATATTAAGCAAGAGGATCAGATGAAATCTGCCAGGAGTTTTCAGGCAATGCTTATTGTCCTGTAAAAAGCAAAACATTTTCCAACTTCTTATGCTCCCGTGAAGAGCAAACATTTTCCAACTGATATAACCTGTTCACAAAAGCATAAATGTACGCCCAGTTCTTCATTCCTTAAACCTCAGTGATGGCATTCACTCTAAGCTGGCAGGGTATGCACAACAGAGCAATTCCCACTCAAGAAATTTCCCCTAGGTGCACCCATTAAGAACTCCCAAAGGGCAATGGATTTTCTGCTTCAAGAAGCAATTGTTTGTTTATTTAAAAGGAATATGTCCTCTAAAACCTATAAAGAACTTAAGGGCAAAAAAAAAAAATTGTGTGTGTGAGAGAGAGAGAGAGAAAGAGAGAGAGAGACAGAGACAGAGAGTTAGGCCTTTTGGTCAGAACTTGATTGTACCATCTATCTGCCATTAATATTCCACAGAATATCCTAATCTAGAAAGACATGCTAAAAATAAATCAAGATTGCAAGTATATGCAGCCTGCCATGGCAGGAAAGTCCCACACCTAAACAAAAGTAATCAAGTAAATGTCCATACTTTGATGCAGATTAACAGATGTTCCCCTTTCACCTCTAGCTGTAGGATGCTTTTCTCAAGCTTAAATAAACTAACCCTGTTTATTTCTATTTATTTATAATGTTTAAAGACCACTACTCATTAAAAAATAAGATAAGTTTACAACGATCATATAACCATATAATAAAAACCATGCAACAATTTTAAAATCAGAGATCAATTAACTATTTTAGGACATTTTCTTAATTGCCAGCATAAGCCTGACAGCATAGAAAAGCTTTCAACAGGTGCTTGAAGGTTAGAAGAGAAGGTGCTTTATGGATCTCTGTTGGCAGTGTTCCACATGATTGGCCCAATGACACTAGGTTTCCTGTTGCTGTCAAGTGAGCCTTTCCAACTCAAGGAATTATCCACAATGCTCCTCTCTACCCACCTACCATACAGGATCTCAGGGTGAAGGATGCAGGGTTATAAAACTAACTTTGTGTCAGGCTACTGGCCTAGCCCAGAACTGTCTACACTGACTTGCTATGTCCCCTCTATGAACTATATAACGCTGTGACTTAAGGGAGTTTTCCTACTTCTTAGACAAAAACATAATGTAAAGTCATACAACTACATGATGAGAAAGAAATGATACATATTTTCAAAAGTAAAATTTGAGGCTGTAAAATTTCAGGTGATTGCTTCATTAAGCAGAAATGGATTTTATATTCCAACAATATAGAATATTCCCACAAAAGGAAAATAAGGAAAGATCCCATCCTGTGAGATTTTTTTACAATATGGGTGAAGAAAATGCACCCAATGGGGGGCAGTACTGCTCAAGGATTAGTTTCCCTTTTCTGTGATGGGGCACCCATCTCTGTAGAGCATGGGTAGGCAAACTAAGGCCTGGGGCTCGGATGGGGCCCAACTGCCTTCTAAATCCGGCCCGCAGACAGTTTGGGAAACAGCATGTTTTTACATGAGTGGAATGTGTCCTTTTACTTAAAATGTATCTGAATTCATTCTTTTTTCTTCCAAAATATGGACCAGCCCCCCACAAGGTCTGAGGGACAGTGAACTGCCCCCTGCTGGAAAACTTTGCTGACCCCTGCTGTAGAGCTTTTCTAGAGGATTTAATGCTCACTTGCAGAAATATGTGGTATGGCCTTTGGGAGTTTGAATGAGACCAAGACACATGAAGAAATCTTTGGGGAGAAATTTGAAGGAGCTGCTCGAAAAAAAATGACCTTTAAGGAGGCACAACTCCATTATATGGACAATCTGATATATGCTTATATTAACTTTAGGTCACTGGATGACTAGAAAACGAGTCAAACAGAGGAGTTAGAAGAAAACAACATGAAGTGCCATTATTGTAAAGACATGAAGTTGGCAGCTGGGAAGTCACAACACTGTTGTGTAAGAGCGCTCCAGTTCCCAGAAGGATAACTGCTCCTTCTGTAAAACATTAATTTCAGCTCAATTAATGCAAATATATTAATCTCTAACCATACTACTTTTCCCCCTTCAGGGTACCATGGGACATGTGGCATTTAACCAGGTCTATCACTGAGCAAATGAACAATTTTGTAACCAAACTAGATGGAATGAGAAGAAAAATTAATTGCAAATAGCTCTCATTATATTTTCTGAAGCTATGATTTTTTTTAATTATTATTTCTTGCATCAAAATTTCTACTGTTTCTTCTTTAAACATGAACAAGAATGCATGGTATGCATAACAGCAATTCTGTTTAAGGATTTCATGATCCAAATGCTCAGAAAACAACATCATGGTGTATTACAGATAATTTTCATTGAACCTGTACATTATGGACAGGTCATATGTGGAAATCTTTCCTATTACAAATCCTATAACAACTGATTGAAGGCTTGCCTGATCCCGATCATCATGCTCTTCCTCAATAAGCCTATTGAAAAAACCCAAAGCAATACTTTGGGGTTGGTTCCTTGCATCTTAGCACGGAAACTAGAGTCACTAAATTTGATCTAACCACAGTCATCCATACATTCATAACATCCAGGCTAGACTCCTGTGTTAGTTGAACTTGGGTCTGCTAATGCCAGCCTTTTGGAAACTTCAACTCATTCAGTCACTCATACAGTCACTAAACTGTTAGCTGGTTGACATGATCATATATCTATGACACTTAAACAATTCAATGGTTGCTAACTTGCTTCTGGGTACAATTAGAAGTGCTGGGTCTGACTTATAAACCACTCACTGAACATTCTGGGACTACTGTATCTGAAGGAACACCAGCTCCCAAATGCAGTTGCCTACCTATTAAGGTCTTCACTGGATCCCCATATCTGGACACTTCTACTTTCTTAAGTGAATGACTATCAGGAATAGAACATTCTTGGTGATTCTGTGTTATCTGTGGAATGCCTCAGCACATCTACTTGACTAGAACCCAGGGTAGGCTCACCCATGATGCAAGGTGAGGCACCTACCTCAGGCGGCAGGATCCACAGAGGCAGCAGATGTGGCCTTCAAGGAATGATTTACCATTGCTGCTGTCAATACCACAGTAACAGCTGTAGTGTGCTCCTTGGAGGCCACATCTGTCACCTTCTCAGCAGCCCCCCAATGGCACCTCTACGGTGGCCTCTCAGGAAACAGGAGGCACTGCTGGCTTCCTCCCACCTCTAGGGAGAATATAGTGGTCTCCTGGGATCTGTACCCACCCAGTGTGATTCACAGGCCTCCATCACAACCGAAATGGTTTTCGACCATGGGTAAGGTTCAACAATCAGGTAAGGTTGATTTAATTTCCCGCCTTGTTCCCAATGTAGATCTTCACATACCCCTCCTTTCATGCCCCAGGGCAGGGGTGGGGAGCATTCTGTGGTTCACTTCAGGTGTCAAACGTATGTCATTCATGCTACAAGTATTCATGTGTGCCCAGGCATTAAATGCCTCTTAAGTTTACTGACTCATCATTTGTTGTAGATATTTTTAGCAAAGAAGCCAATGAGGGGACCCAAAACAGATTCTGTGGAGAAGGTGCCAAGATCACTTCCTAAACCTGTGACCGAGGAAGATATTACTCTTTTGTTATTGGATCTAGAACCAGGTCAGAGCCAGCAGCTGGGATTTTGGACGCTGGTCTAGGTAAGAATGGAAAGAGACAGAAATGGGCTATATACCTTCTAAGGAAGGGCTCTTTTCACAGAATTGGGTATAGCTCCTGCTTTGGTGTATGACTCTAGCTTTGTGCTTCTTATTACATTTGAAACGCTTGAACAAGTTTGGGCTACATGAATCTCCCTTGCAGTAACCTTTCTCACCAACTCAAGGAAGACTGGATCAAGTGGAGATCAGAATGGATCCCAGGCTTTGTGAAGATACTTGAAAAAGTGCTATTGGGGGGGGGAATAAGCTAGTACTCCCATTGTATCCCCAGAACGACTTCCACTGGCACGATGAAACTTTCCCCCTCGTCTCCTGCACTCCCAAATATGCCCTGGAGGAATAGGGGAACCCTTGGTACATATTTGTTTGAAGGGGGGAGGATGGCAGGGAAGCACAAGGGAGGAGATGTTCTGCTGCATAAGTGGAATGAATTCCACAAGTGCAATGACTTCATTGGATACAATCCTAAACTGCCTCTGATGGTGACATTGTGCAGAAAGGCTCCACCAACTACTATTCCATCCATTTATTTTCCTAGTTTCTACTCCATGTTGTCTCAGAAGAAGTGAATGGCCTGTCCATTCTAATACAAGAGAAGGAAGTAGGCCTGAACATGGCAAATTCTGTGTGAGCCTCAGCCACTCTGAAGTAGGGGTTTTAGATCCCTCAATATTTTGGCATGAAAATACCATGGGGTGACTGGTCAGGTCTGTCTTGTGCTGCTGTGGGAAAAGAAGTTATTACAAAAGCCAAAGCATTCTAATCCCTTGTATACAGTGGTACCTCGGGTTACATACGCTTCAGGTTACATACTCCGCTAACCCAGAAATAGTACCTCGGGTTAAGAACTTTGCTTCAGGATGAGAACAGAAATCGTGCGGCGGCATGGCGGCAGCAGGAGGCCCCATTAGCTAAAGTGGTGCTTCAGGTTAAGAACAGTTTCAGGTTAAGAACAGACCTCCGGAACGAATTAAGTACTTAACCTGAGGTACCACTGTAATTGATCCTAGCTACAAAAAACAATCAAAATTATTCTCTCTCTATCTTTTTAATGGTCTCTTTACTTGAAACAGCACAATAAGCTTTCTACTGGTTGCTAAGACAGGGCAAGCCTGAATATGTGTGGAGCCTCTCATCCAAGAGGAAGAATTAACTGGAAAAGGACCTTGTCTTTGATCCCCAGAGACAATCCTAATGAGCAGGCTTCCCTATAACCACCAGGGAAAACTTTTTCCTTTGCTAGCTGGCTTTCACCGAGCTTGCCTTCAAACTTTACACACTTACCAAATAATTGGCAGATTTTTTTTCTGTCAAGCTAATACATCCTAGCTGACACTTGCATTGTGGAAAAGTCATTGGATTTGACACAGTTAGATGCAATTATTGCTGTAGGACGGAACCATCTACTGTAATCATCATTGCATAAAGAAACTGGATTATTTTTACGTTGTCTGATATATCTCAGTTTTTCATTCATCTGTATATATATTTAAGGTAATTGGGTCTTAGCTGAAGCAATCTCTCTTAGAGACAGGTGCCCTTTTATATAAATACTGACGATTTTTTTGATGTTTTCCAGCTAAAGCTACTTAAATATGATCTTTAAGGATCTTATTTATCTGTCACATAACATCAAGACTCTCAAAGAGATCATTACTAGACAGGAAGTGCCAATTACATTTCTCTTGAGACACCTCTCATGGAGTCATCAAAAAAACTGAAGACTGATAAAATTAAAATCCCTCTCGCCCCCGCCCTAAAATAAAAATAAGTTTTTGGGGAGCAGACAAATGCCATTCTGGATAACGACAGAGAACATACTCATTCTCCCTGATGACATACCAAGCAGCCTAGCTGCTCTTTGTTCCTACAGACAATCGCTTAAACTGAAATTATTGCTGCTTTGCAATAAGGTCTGTTATAGACTGAAATATCATGTAGGAATAATAATCAAGAAGTCCCCCATCCACAAACAACACATTTGCTCCCCACCAAACAAAAATTCAAAATTATTTTTCAGACTTACAGTAAAAAAGAATTTGAATTCTTAATTTGAAATAAATATTCCATGCCACATATCCACCAGTGTAAACCACAGGCAAAATATTGTAACATGTTCAAGGTCATTCTCAGTTTAGTCCAGCAACCTTTGATAGCGAAATTTAAACAGAAACTGAAAGATTTTGGATAAATAGGTAATTCTTCATCACTCTCTTGTGAAACTGGTTGTTGTGATTATGGCAAAGGGTTAAAAAGAAACCAGTATTCATACAAATATATAACTGTATGCACCAAATCAAGTGCCAATCTTCCACAAGGGATACTGGGCTTTATTCCATCAGCAGAGATTACTTCTTTTATTTCCAGGACCAAAAAGGACAAACTCTCCTTGTCAAAAAACATTTCTACACTGTTCTCAGCATGCATGCAGTCTACATATGCAAAAGCAAATTCAGAAGTTACTTGCTAGTAAGCATGCCAAATCTGCAGTGTGTTATAGCAGCTTGGACACTTCCTATATTGTTCCACATTCTTTTTACTAGAAAGTTTATCTGCTCAACAAGGAGCTTACTATTTGTAATCTGTAGCTGGGACATCTATCTATGCATTATTTTAGTTTATTAGTTTATTAAATTTCTGCACCACCCTTCATCTGATGATCACAGTGTGGTTTACAACACAAAAATGCATGCAATAATAATGCACAAAGACAATACCCCTCCACAAACACATACACAGTTTAAGAGGCCATAGATTGCTTAATTAGCCAAAGGCCTGGGAGGAGGAATGTTTTTGTCTGTAGTTATGCAGAGAAGGCGCCAGGAGAGCTTCCCTGAGGAGAGGATTCTACAAACGGGGAGCCATCACAAAAGAGGCTTCTCATGTTGCCACCCTCTGACCTCTCATGGAGGATGTACATGAAGAAGGGCCTCTGATGACGATCACACAGTCCGGGTTGTTCACACTATTGCAATCCTGAGTCATTTAAAGCTTTATAGGTCAAAACCAGCACTTTGTAATGGGCCTGGAAAGTAACTGGCAGCCAGTGCAGTCAGACCAGGATTGGCAGTATATGCTCAAACTGTCTTGCCCCAGTGAGCAACCTGGTCACTAAATTCTGCACCAGTTTAAGTTCTGAACTATATTCAGAGGTAGCCCCATGTATAATGCATTTCAGCATAGATAACAGGCATTAGGATATTCCTGTCCAGATAGGGGTGCAGCTGGGCCGCTAACCAAAGCTAATGTAAGGCACTCCATACTACCAAAGCCACCTGAACCTCAAGCGACAGCAATAGAACCAGAAGTACTTCCCAGCTGCACACCAGCTCCTTCAGAGGGAGTGTAACTCCATGAAGACCAGGCAACTTGCCATCCATCCAGTCTAGAGAACCACCCACTAACAGTGGTTGAGTCTTATCTGGATGGAGCTTCAGCTGATTTGCTTTCATCCAGTCCATTAACAAGGCAAGACAAAGTACCAGCACATTCACTGCCACACTTGCAGACATAGAGAAGTAAAGCTGTGTGTCATCAGCATATGGCTGTCAACGTATTCCATAACTTCAAATAAACCCACTCAGTCATTTCATGTAGATGTTAAACATGGGGGACAAAATCAAACTGTGTGGATCCCCGTATTGAAGGCTCCACGGGACCAAAGAATACTCCCCAAGCATCATCCTCTGGAAATGCTAAGCTAGGTAGGACCAAAGCCACTGCAAAGTGGTGCCACCCACCCTTAATGCAGACATCATTCCAGAAGGATACCATGGCTGATGGTATCAAAAACAGGAAAACAACTAGTAATTGAAAGGTGTGCTATCCTATCATTGCAAGCAGCAAGATGGACAGCTTACCCTAGATTTACTTCTGAGAAAGCATAATTAGTTTGTCAGTTTACTCAATAGATTGGAATGCTTACTCACAAGTAATAAACTAAATTCCACATGAAAGAAGAAGAGTTTGGATTTGATATCCCGCTTTATCACTACCCTAAGCTGTGGGTTAAACCACAGAGCCTAGGGCTTGCCGATCAGAAGGTCAGCGGTTCAAATCCCCGCAACGAGGTAAGCTCCCGCTGCTTGGTCCCTGCTCCTGCCAACCTAGCAGTTCAAAACCACGAAGTACAAGTAGATAAATAGGTAAACAATGTTTCCGTGCGCTGCTCTGCTTCACCAGAAGCAGCTTAGTCATGCTGGCCACATGACCCGGAAGCTGTATGCCGGCTCCATCGGCCAGTAAAGTGAGATGAGCGCCGCAACCCCAGAGTCGTCCACGGCTGGACCTAACAGTCAGGGGTCCCTTTACCTTTTTTAAGGAGTCTCAAAGCGGCTGACAATCTACTTTCCCTTCCTCACACACAACAAACATTCTGTGAGGTGAGTGAGGCTGAGAGACTTCAGAGAAGTGTGACTAGCCCAAGGTCACCCAGCAGCTGCATGTGGAGGAGCAGGGATGCGAACCCGGTTCACCAGATTACGAGTCCAACGCTCTTAACCACTACACCGCACTGGCTTTCCCCACTAATTCAACTATAGTTTGGATTGAGTCAGAGTTGGGCATGAAGGATGGGCGAAAGAATGAAGCCTATAAACATCTGGCATAAATATACAAATGTTTCAGCAGAAGTATGAAAGCTGAAACATTTTAGCGCTACTATCTCCTTTGTAGTGAAAAGCATTGACATCTCACTAGGATATAGGTTCACAGCACTGGAACATCAACAGTTTTAGAGAAATTACTGGCATGCTGTGTTTGGTTTACTGTCTACCACCTTTCATTTTTCAAACTGTATCAAAACACAGAGGGTAACCACTCCAATTTCTTTCACAGCAGCTATGCTGGGTGAGAAAATTTGTTAGGGATTAAATAGAATGAAGTATCCAGAGCAAATGTAAAGTGTGGCCACCTACTAGTACCGAATGACATTGCTGAGGGTAGTATGATAAGGATTTTTCTGGCAATCACAAGGAATGTGAGTTTATGGCAATGCAATTCAGGGCAAAATTACATACACCCAGCAAGAACAAATACAAAGTCTTGCATCTGATATGCCAGTATTTGCAGATAAAAGCCACTATTATAGAGTCACACTAAATGCACTGTTTATTTTCTGCTAGGCATGCAGTTTATTCCGATGAGCTAACACTCTTCCCCATTTCAAGATAAAAACAAAAGATAAATTTCTGTAATCTTTATAGAAATGAATGGCACTAAGCCAACTGAATATCTGAGTGCTTCATTGAAAGTGTTAATGTTGATTAAGTACTTTAGAAAAAATGGGATGAAGTTAACTCTTTCAAAAACAATAATCAACATTTAATAACATTCATTAATAGCATTCATCATTTAACATTCAATCTTAAAAACAACATTTTAGCCCTTTAATTATCTAATTACAATTTTAAAAATTTACATATAAAAAATCTGCAAAATGGATAACAAAAATGTTTTGAAGAAATATTGAAGGAAGAATAATTTAACTTATTATTCATCCTTTAAAACTTTTTTCATTGCAGTATTAGATAAATAAAACATAACCCAAATAGTCTTTAAACCAAAACCCAGAAAACCCAGAAAACAAATCTACCCATAATTCACAGATTTATTTAAGTTTTGCTCTTCCCAATAAAAACTGGCTTCTACCCATTAATAAACTAATAATTTAAGTTTACTGATCTATCAGTTTAACCAATTTGAAGCCCTAATCTACACATGTGCAATTTGTCTCCGTATATGTGGCTAAAATTTTATCATTTTAAATTCATGCTGTCTTTCAAAAGCCATACTGGTGGAGCCAACACAAGGCTTTTCAACTTTAAGGGCCAGTTATGAGGTTAGCCTTATTGGATAGACAAGACATGAAAAGAGCTTTATTCAAGTGTTTGTTGCATGAACTGCCATCACATTATACTGTACAGTGTATTATCGTCCAGCTAGGCACTGATGCTTTAGTCAGGAATCTGTCAGAGATTTCATTAAAAAAAAATCATTTTTGAACTCTTGATAATCCATCCATTCAAAGCAGCATTGAACTGAAACTTGACACAGCTTGTTCCTGGCTTATATAATGTATATATATGCACACTTTAAAGGGAAAATTCTTTAATGGGCTCAATCATCATCATTTAGATGATTTCACGTTATTATTATTTTTCTTTTCTGAGCACTTTTAGCAAGCAAGGGAGAAAAAACCTGCAGGGCTATTTAGGGCACTTGCAGAGAGTTATAATAGATACCTGCCATGAAACAGTTTTTATATTCAGCTGACCCATTTGATATGCTTAGATGAACAACCAATCTGTAGCTCCAAAGGTTGAGGGTCATTCTAATAAGCCATTGCACAAACTCTAAAGCTCCAATATAGCCATCAGTCATCTGCAAGCAGTACACTTTGAAGGGTAAGCTACTGCTGCTAAATTATCCTGTGGGGGATCCAACATTAACAACTGAAGAAAGCATAAGCTCCCTGTACTACTGATAGGAGCAATAGAAGCATCTTTCCCTGGCAGCTCTTCCTCCATGATATGACAGAAACTGCCAAACATTATGCTGTCTAGCTGCTTAGTAAAGAGTTGTACAAGTACAGAAAATGAAGTAGCCGTGGTTTTCAATAAACCTGGATCTACATTGGAGGCAAATATGGGTGCAGCCTGGATACAGATGCTAAAGTATCATGGAAGTGGCTTGACCACATGTTCACTAAATTCTAAGGCAGAGACATTATATGAATATTCCTTTAATTGATTTAAGTTTATTTTTTTATAAGTCATACTTTTACTGACTTATTTGCATTGGATCAGATGGTTATAGAATTATGTTCTTTGTTATATTTTGTCACTTCTGTAGCTTGCAACTCACATACACAACTGAATCAGTATACCATTGCTTATCGTGCTATAGGTTACTTTGTTACAATCCTTATAATGTAGCTTCTTTTTAAAGGGAAAAAAAACCTGTCAAATATATCCTGAGTAGAGCACAGATAATCTTTTGCACCACTGCAGTATTTCTTAAGAGTTTCAGGATGATCAGGAAAACAAAACATACCGCCTATCAGTTCTGTTCTTGTATACAGTATTCTGCTAATGTATACAGTTCTGCTAATATATGCGGTGGAAGCCTAGGCCCTTGGTTTGTCTGTAAGTGTGCACAATATAAAAGAACTATGTGTAATAGCAGCTACTTTTTCTTTTTCTTTGATTCATTTAATTCTGCACATCATTGTTGTTGCTAGTAGTAGTAGTAATAAATGGATGAATAAATAAAAGAATACAGTTGTCAAAGGCATTTACAACTGTATGAAGATGTTGATATTGCCCAGTATTCAGAATAATAATACTTTCATCTTATCACAGTTTAAGAGATGTTAATTGTACATCTAGGTAATGAACTGTCCCCTGGTGTTGCATTTTGTGGGTCATATCACACAATGTCAGAAAGAGGCTGCCTTTTACACTTCATTATTTTTCTAATTACCAAAGCCAGTCACGTGAGATCTAAATTATGTTTGAAACTGAAGGGAGATGATTAGTGTGTTTGCTTGTCAATAAAGACAATGCCCCTCTCCTGTACACCTTCTTCAGCAGAGAATGGATATCTAGAGATAGATAGATGACAGCTGATAGATAGATGATAGATAGATGATAGATGATAGATAGATAGATAGATAG